CTGGGCACCACTGAAAAGAGCTTGGCCCCATCCTCCTGACACCCACCCTGCAGATATTTGTAGGCATTTCTAAGGTCCCCTCGCAGCCTTCTCTTCTTCAGGCTGAAAAATTTAATATTTTGGACTGAGCCACGCTTTGTGATGTAGAGGTTTGGTCTACAACACGTCTGCCTTAATGAACTATAACAGCACAGAAGGCAATTATGTTTTTGTCTAGACCTGTCTAAGGCCATCAACAGCACCTCATTACTTTACAGATTGTTAATGCTGTTGGCAGAAGTTGAAGATCCTCCTTGAAAAAAAAAAAAATCAAATTTATTTTCTTTTGCAACATACTTTAGCTGATGATAAATGATAAATAGGGGCTTGTGGCTAATTAGACCTCGCTTTGTCCAGAGGCAGATACATAACCATAAACCGTAACCAGGATAAAAGGAAGAGGGGAAATGGCAGAGAACTCACATGAGGTTTCTTTTAAAGAACATTAGAAGCTTTAGGAAAATTAGGAAACAAAACTGCTGCTGTTGTGTCAGCGCATCTTCTCCACGTGGAAGGACTCATGGTCAATGATTAATCGTACCGCTCTGGAGACCTGGGGCGTGGATTTGTTCTGTAGATCTGGTTTGTTTTCATTTTTATGTGTGTACCACATCTCTTAAGGAGGCTGAGGGACCCCCAACAGGGCTTCCCACTGCCACTTTTCATAGAATCATAGAATGGGTTGGGTTGGAAGGGACCTCAGAGCTCACCTGGTTCCAGCCCCGCTGCCGTGGGCAGGGACCCCTTCCACCAGACCGGGGTGCTCCGAGCTCCATCCAACCCGGCGCTGAGCCCTGCCAGGGAGGGGGCAGCCACAGCTTCTCGGGCAAATTGCTTTGAATTTTCCAATTTCAAAATGCGTGGTGCAATTACTCATTTTCCCCAACATTTCCATCCCTGTTCCTCTTCCCTTTCCCCACGGAGGAGCTGCGTGCCAGCAGAGCCTGGGGTGTGGATGCATGAGGAGGAGTGTGGGCAGCAGGGCGAGGGAGGTTCTCCTTCCCCTCTACTCTGCCCTGGTGAGGCCCCATCTGCAGTGCTGTGTCCAGTGCTGGGCTCCCCAGTTCCAGAAAGATGAGGAGCTGCTGGAGAGAGTCCAGTGGA